TATTCTCACATTAACATCTGAGCCGTTATATCTTTATAAACAGTGTGTGGATAAAACTGATTATTAAGAGGATATCTTCACATGGTTTCCATAGAAACAGATTGTTTGGTAGGGTGGGCATGATACCGATAATGAAATTGATACCTGTTTGATACCACGGCAACAAAATTAAAAGTCCTGAATGAACAAGAGGGAGGAGGAGGAGAGAAGGGAGGGAACCCCTCGCACCACCACCTCCTCCTCCTCCTCCTCCTCCTCCTCCTCCTCCTCCCTCTTCTTGTTCATTCATTGCCAACATATTTGTGAAATTTAGAGAGTCTGCAGGAGTTTGCTTGGTGATTAAAAACAATAAATTATCCAACAGAAAAGTTTAGGAAACTAAACAAAAAAAGGGAAGCAACCTGCAGCTGCGAAGTCTTTTCTGAGTTCACTCCACTAATGTCAACAGTTTACTCAAAGTGCAATCTTCAGTTTGTCAAACTTCACATCACCAGATGTAGGCCTACTCATCCACTCGTGTTTTAAATGTGATAAGACAGAAACATACATCAACATCTCTTCATCATTGTTGACCTTACCTCAACTCAAAAAAAGCTGAACAGCTGCAGTTTTAGTTTTTCAAGTTTCCGCAGCATTTCCTTTTCTACAGTGTCCTTATTAAGAACATTGGGGGCTTTTTTTTGTTGTTGCCGTGGTAACAAACAGGTCTCAATATCGTTAGACTTTTACTAGAATTATATCAAAGTTTAAAATTCTGGTATCCTCAGTTCTTTAAACCTTAAAAACTTGATAGCAATTCATATTAAACAAAAACAATAAATTTGACTTTGTAATATTAGCTGAGTTATTGGTCCAGTTCTGACTCAGACAGAAACAAATCTAATAGATTTATTTCAGGACTAATGAGGGCCCCTTCCTCCATTGGGGCCCTGGGTAGTCAGCCTCCTCTGCTACGCCCCTGTCCTGATCAATAACAGGTCGATCACCTCCCTGTGTGTTTGAATAGTGTAACCAGTCTGTGTGTGTGTGTGTGTGTGTGTGTGTGTGTGTGTGTGTGTGTGTGTGTGTGTGTGTGTGTGTGTGTTGATGGTCTCACCCAAAACAGCAGGTTGAGCGAGTACAGCAGACAGCGCAGACACCTCACCGCGTCCTCACGAGCCATCCCAACCGGAGCTCACCTGAGCCCGGGTCCCCATGGCAACATGCTCACAGCAAACACACAGCCCGGAGCCCGGAGAGATTTCTGCGGAGATTAGCACTCATCTTCTTCTCTGAATCCGCGTCTGCTCCGCGCGTAAAGGCCGCATTCCGCTCCCTCTGACTCGGCTCCGCTCGGGTTTATCCGTGAGAGGCTCCAGGAAAACTTTCACAACAGGTGTTTTCTTACTTTCCCCTCGGCCCCGCCGGGATGATGGAGTGACATTTCCAAAGCAATCATCACTCAGTTAGCGAGACGCACCGAAAATACGCACAGCCAGGAACTGTTTACAAGAAGTTTGTCACGAAGCAGTACGGTTTTATTACGATCCAAACGTTTAAAAGAAGAACTCAAGAGATTAAAAACACAAAAACAAACTTTAAAGACATCCACCAGTGAACGTTCAATCCTCTGCAGCCCGATCCAACACGCTAACTTTCCTCCTCTCAGCAGAGCTTCAGTCCGGACTGACTCTGCAGCTGAATCTCAGCCCGGAGCTGCCTGCAGGGGGGCGGTGCTGTCCGTCCCGGGCCGTCCTGACGCTTCTTCTTCTTCTTCCTCACTAATTAAATGCGCACAGCAGCAGAAGCCTCCCCTCTTCCTCCCCTTTCACTCTCCTGGGGGAGGACAGAGGAATGTGTCTGCCTCCAGCCGTAGAGCCGAGGGGTCAGCGGGCCAACAGGCTGAGAGTAATGTGTGGAGGAGGATGGTGCGCGCACACACACACACACACACACACACACACACACACACACACACACACACACACACACACACACACACACACACACACACACACACACACACACACACACACACACACACACAGTCTACAGGCTAAACAGGAGAAACTCATGGAATTTTATCATTATGAGGGAGTAAAGAAAACACTCGATTTTTATTTATAGGCCTACAGTGATAAGAAAACATTTTTTATTGTTATAACATTACAATAAATATTCATAAAACTTGAATGCACAAATGAAAAACATGATGAATCCTGCTCAGAGATTTTTTTTTTTTTTTTTAAATAATTTGACTTTATGTTTGCTTTAATAATTGTATTTCCTGGATCTATAACTGATCATTAATTCAAAACAAGCCCTATGGTAAAGCCTTAGGAAACACTGTATTTTAGCCTATCAGGCAACTTGTGATATTTAGTTTTAGGTCACAATATTTACAGACTATGGGTCACACGTGTAAGTAACGTTTAAAATATTAGTTATTTTTAGTCTTTACAGGCCTTCTTTCACTTTGTTTGTTAAATAATCACTCTAACTGATGCATTTTGGATCTGAACACGACATTAAGCTGATAGTAAATAATGAAAATATAAAATAAGACTTTTAAGACCGAGTTTGACATTTTTAACAGAAGAATCGAAGTAAACTTGTAAAAAACTACAACTCCCATCGGACGTCTGTTCCGAGAACACGAATCATCGCCCGCGTAGGTTTCAACCAATCAGAGCACAGACAGAACGTCTGCGTCACCTTCTCTGACCTCAATTTTTCGGGGTATTTTTTTCTGAGACAGACAGCGACTGGCGGCGCCATATTGAAAGAAGAAAATTGTTCCATAAAACGCTAAAAACGTCGAATTTGCCGCCATGTTGTACCTCGAAGATTACCTCGAGAGTGAGTATCAGATTGTGACAAACCGTCAGAGGGGGTTTTTGTCGCTTTTTGTGCTTTAAATGTGTGTTATATTCCGGCCTGTGTGTCTCCGGTCGTTAGCCTAGCCGTGCTAACAGGGTAACGGTGTTTTCTTCTTCTCTGGTTAGTGATCGAGCAGCTTCCCATGGACCTCCGCGACAGGTTTACGGAAATGAGAGAGATGGACCTGCAGGTTCAGAGTACGTACAGCAACCACACCGGGTCTGACACACTCCCAGAGACACTTTAATAAAGACTTTAAAGAGGAAAAAGCTCTGTAACATTTCATTGGAACATTTCAGAGACAGTTTTTAACTCTAGTTTCTGTTATTAGCATGTTTAGCTCAGCCGGCTAACTGCGCTGAAACAACAAACTGAACTGAAGTTTGGAAGGGAGCAGTTATTCACAGAACACCTGCTGTTTAATTTATTTAATGTTTTAAATACTTTGATTTACTTCTGTATTATTTTAGGCAGATTTTTTTTCATTATTAATTTTATTTTATTTTATTATTAATTAATAATTTTTCATTTTTTTACTTCCTTAATATTTTAAGCAGTTGTTAAATAAAGGTTAAATAAAGGTGCAACATTCCCACATAAGGATTGATTGCTGACATGTAAGAAAACTAAATTCCACTCGAATTCAAACTTTTTTGACATTTAGTTTTCAGCAGTTGGTTTAGATATTCAAATTAATTTTTTGGTAACACTTTATAATAACCATCATCTATAAAGGGTAAATAGATAGTAAATTAACCATGAGTTAATAGTTATCGTCTGTTAACAAATAAATCATTGATAAAATATGAATTATCTATCTAAAAAATATTTATAGATGCTTAACAAAATATCAATAAGGGATTACAGTCTTCAGTTCCAACTTTATAATAACCTTCCAAATAATGTTAATAGACGCTTTATAAAATATTTACAAACCATGAACAAATATCTGGTCCATGTGTCCCTGTAATGTTTATAGATGTTTTATAAACCATCTCTTAAAGGTTTATAAATCGTTTGGTCATTATTAAAAAACACTTTATAAAGTGTATGAAATGTTATAATGTGTGCGTCAATAAACTGTTAACATAACATAAATTATAGCATTACAAATCATTATTAACTATCATTTCAGTGTTTGTTAACCGTAAATAATTATTAACTAATGGTTAATTAACTATCTATTTACCCTTATTTGCCCTTTATAGATGATGGTTATTATAAAGTGTTACCAATTTTTTAGATATAAATATTTCTACTCGGTCTCTGGCTAAACCCACCTTTTTAACAAAGCCTTCTGCTTGTGCTTTTAGTTTCGTTAGTTGATGAAATTAGTTTTTATTTCTATTTTTTTTTCTGTAGAAAGTGCGTGTAGAAAGTACAAATTAAATGTATTATTTTTATTATTATTATAACTCAAACTGATGTACAGGAAAGCAACCATCAGTGGTCTTTAATTCTACTATTCTTGAAGTTATCTCACACACCTGCAGCTGATGACTCAGGATGATTTCTACATTTAAACCTAAACCATTTTTGCTGTCAAAATCATTTCACCTGTCCGACTCTAACAGTGTGTAACTTCTGCTCTAACACTGTGTGTGTGTGTTTATGTTAAATGTCCATCAGTGTATCACAGTCCACACTGTTAAACACTGAGCTGAGTCGTTTGTATTTGTGCCGCCTGAAGTCAATGTGAGGACGTTTGTGCTGCTGATCGCTGACCTGTTTGTGTTTTTCTCGTTCAGACGCCACAGATCAGCTGGAGCAGAAAGTGATCGAGTTCTTTGTCAATGCAAAGAAGAACAAACCTGAGTGGAGGGATGAGCAGATGGAGGTCATTAAAAAGGTGTGTAAAGTAATATACGGCATGGATACAAACAGTGGCTTTAACACAGTAATGTTAACTTTATTTTAAAAGCTCCCTCGTGTCTTTAAGCTTTGTAATAATCTCTTTCAGGATTACTACAAAGCTTTAGAGGATGCCGATGAGAAAGTTCAGCTGGCCAATCAGATCTATGACCTGGTGAGTAAAACTCTCTTTTTAAATGTGCTGAATTAAACTTGTCGTTATTATCACCCATCGTCACTAACAGGAAGATCGTGTAGTATGACCTCGGCATAAGAGGGGCCGAAATTATGATCAACACCCGTCTGAGTTGTTGTGAAGTGTTTAGGCGAAATATGCATCATATTCATGGAGGTGTGATGCATGGATTACATGTCGTCCTGTTAGAGAAGTTAGTGTTATTCTTACAGCATAGATATTTACTTAACTACCCTATTGGAGTTTACAATATTTACAGGTCGACTGACTGGATGTTATACAGCTAAATGTCCACCAGGGGGCAGTCACAGACAGAGAAACAAAAGATGGAGGCTCACTTTCCCATTAAAAGTTTAAACCACATTGTTGTCATCAGTATAGTTATAATATCCTGTTCAAACAAACATCAAGACTTTAAGAAAATTATGTTTTCTCTGCTCTGTGTGACGGTTCAGCAAAACAGTTTGTACTGATGACCTTATCTTTATCTTTACAGCAGTTTAGTCACAAAAATTTGAATTCATTTAGAATCTGTAATTTCACACTGAGGGTGGTTATTTAATCATCATGTTAAAGTTTTGAAATTACTTTGTTAATCTGACCGAATCAGTCGTTTAAAATTATAGGAACACGTCCTTCTTTTTATTACCCAGAGATCAGTGAGTGTTGATGCTCTTTATTACACTCTTTGTCCTCCAGGTGGACCGTCACCTGCGTAAACTGGACCAGGAGCTGGCCAAGTTTAAGATGGAGCTGGAGGCCGATAACGCCGGCATCACAGAGATCCTGGAGAGAAGTAAGACTCCCACTCTGACCCTGAAATGTTGAACCATGATTATTATTTATCTTGTTTTTACGGGGAGTTTATTGAACTTCTTTCTTCTCTTCAGGGTCTTTAGAGATGGACAGTCCGTCTCAGCCGGTCAACAACCATCACGTCCACTCTCACACGACGACTGAGAGTAAGTGCACACACACACACACACACACACACACACACACACTCTGACTGGAATGCTATCAGAAGCAAAACTGACTTTAAGGTTCTAGCTCTCTTCTTGTTCAGGGGAAGCTTGATGGAGCGTATCATTTGATGTCAGAGTTTGTGTGAAGTTGTGAGGAGGTGTTTGAGTGTGTGTGTGTGTGTGTGTGTTTTGTAACAGAGAGGAAGTACAGCGCTCCGGCTCATCACACCACAGAACACGTTCCAGAGAAGAAGTTTAAATCTGAAGCTCTGCTGTCCACGCTGACGTCCGACGCCTCCAAGGAGAATACACCAGGTAACCCCCCCCACACACACACACACACACACCTCTATGCAAGGTTTAAAAAAATGTTGATGCCACATCTTTTAAGCAATACCTATGACGACACATTTTCAGTATTTTTTTAGGCAGTGTGCACAAGTTTATCTGCAATTTCTGGGAATTAAAAAATGATAAAAAAGCCAACATTGGATGGTTGGGATTCTATTTTCTGTTGCCAGGGTGTCAAATGAGTATTGATCTCAAAGTTACAACTTTAGTGTATAACTGTGTGTGCGCTGTGTCCCCTGCAGGCTGCCGTACCAACAGCACATCCTCGTCCACTAACAATGTGTACAGTGTGAACTCCTCTCAGCCTCTGGCCTCCTACAACCTGAGCTCTCTACCTGCGGGGCCCGGTGCCGGAGCCGGGGCCATCACCATGGCTGCAGCTCAGGCTGTGCAGGCCACCGCACAGGTGAGTCACATGAAGATGAATATATCTGTGGGTGCTGGACTGTTTGATGGAGGGCATTTTGCTGGGTTTGTGTTGTTGTGATCAGCTTGTTTGTTTGTTTGTTTGTGTGTGTGCTCAGATGAAGGATGGTCGCAGGACGTCGAGCCTCAAAGCGAGCTACGAGGCGATCAAAAACAACGACTTCCAGCTGAGCAGAGAGTTCAATCTGTCCAGAGAAAACTCTGGATACTCTTCCTCCGCCCTCGCCTCCACCCTCACACAGACCCTCACCCCGACCACCGCCTCTGACTCCAGGGGCCGCAAGTCCAAGTGAGTCACACACACACACACACACACACACACACACACCTGTTTACCTGTTAAAACACCTGCACACTACAGTCTAATAAACAGAGACTGCACAAGTAAAAGTTTCATTTAAGGTCTGACTCTCTACTCTTTGATTCAAACATTTAAACATTCCTCTCTCTCTGTCTCTCTCTCTCTCTCTCTCTCTCTCTCTCTCTCTCTCTGTCTCTCTCTCTCCCTCTCTCTATCCCTCCCTCCATCTGTTCTTCTGTTGTTTTTCCAGAAGCAGCATCAAGTCTTCCAACCACCAGTCGTCCTCGTCGTCCTCCTCCTCCTCTCTCTCCTCCTGCTCCTCCTCCTCCGCTTTGGCTCAGGAACTCTCCCAGCAGGCCTCAGCCCTGCCCGAGGCCGAGGCCAACAGCCAGGTGGACTGGACCTACGATCCCAACGAGCCCCGATACTGCATCTGTAACCAGGTAAGAACCCAAACAGTCAGTGTATTGTTTCAGAGAGACTTCTTATTATAAAGATTAATGTGTGTTTTTTTAATTTTATTTGTACATTTTATTTCATTCAAACAAACAATAAAGTTAAGAAAAACAAACAAACATAAAATCTCAAATGTTAAATGAAAAAATGCTTTCACAAAGCATTAATTAAAACAAAACAAAACATTTAATTCAAAAACAATTAAATTCAAATAAATTGGCTGCAGGCAAACACATCCACTGGCAGCCCCATCGTAGGTCCTCCTCATATTTATTCAACAAACTGGCTTTAATTTTTCTTTTAAATATCATGTTTGATTTTGATTTAGTTTCCCTGTTGAGATTGTTCCATAAACCGATTCCTTTTATAGTAAATAAATGTTTGTTTTTAAGAGTTGAAAATAACCAGTTCGATCTTTTTCAGGTGTCTTACGGAGAAATGGTGGGCTGTGATAACACAGATGTGAGTATCATGTTTATTATTATTATTATTATTATTATTATTATAGGGCTTTTATTTTGAAATAAAGACCTGGTGGAGCAAAGGTTACACCCGACCAGCTGATAGATATAAATCATTTGATGGACCCAGCAGAGTTCAGTTAACAGAGGGTCACATTATATATTAAATTAGTTTAAATATATTCTGATCAGTTAGAGACGGTCTCATTTTTATTATTTATTGATCAGTAATAAGTGTGTGTGTTGTGTGTGTGTGTGTGTGTGTGTGTGTGTGTGTGTATGCTCTCGTCCTCAGTGTCCCATCGAGTGGTTTCATTACGGCTGTGTGGGTCTGACCGAGGCTCCTAAAGGGAAGTGGTTCTGTCCTCAGTGCACAGCCGCCATGAAGAGGAGGGGCAGCCGACACAAATAGACTCCACCCACCACCTGTCCGTCTGTCTGTCTCTGTGTGTGTCGGCCATGTTGGATTTAAACGTAAAACACACCCAGCCAGCTCCTGCAGGGGTCAGAGGTCATCAGGCACAGAGTGAGGGATACAAGCCGCAGACACGTCTGAGTCATGAGATTATAACCTGAAATATGATGTCACGGCTCAGAGATTCATCTTTATTCACCTGAACGTGAGTCATGTTAACTCTCCTGACCAACATGACTCCATCTGACAGATTCAAGTCTGAAAATCAACTTAAAGGTTGATTCTGAGTTTAATCTCAGATGTTCACAGTTTAACGTCGCCTCGCTCATTGGGTGGTTTTCTGAAACGTCGTTCACATCATGAAAACTCTAACCAGGATGGACCTCGTGATGAATCTGATCATCTGGATTATCAAAGACCTGAACCGGCTGAATGGTCAGAAAGTGAATAAAAAAATAATCTCTGAACACGACGGAAACATCCGGGGGAATCTCAGACTGTTCGTTTTTTGTTTGTTTTGTTTTTTTAAGAGGAGAGGTTTACCTTCAGTTTGAAGACCACCTGACAGCTCACCTGGACCGAGGAGCGGGAGCGTCCACGTCATGACATGCTAAAAAACTCACTCCAGTTTTTGTTTACAAACTTTTTATTCATTTTTTGTTTTAAAACTGAAAATATTTCTTCGTTCATCAAAGAGCTACAGTCAATTTTTCCCATGAGGCCGTGCTCCTCCTCCGCCGCCTCCTCCGTGTTGGAGCAGAAAAAAACTACAAGTTAACTGTTGGGACTACAACTACAGAAACCTGATCGACCCAAACATCAAGTGAACTGACGGAGTTGATTCTTCACCTCCAACTTCTAAATACAAGTTTCACTACGAGCAGCAGAAATGTGTGTGTGTGTATGTGTTGTGTGTGTGTTGCTGTATATGTGTGTGTGTGTTACTGTGTGAATGTCTGTTAGTGTGTGTGCGTGTGTGTGTGTGTGTGTGTGTGTTGCTGTATGTGTGTGTTTGTTTCCTGGTTGTTTAAACTTAAAGTCCAATAAAGTGATGAAGATGTTTTGGTATCTGTAGACTTTTGTTCTTTATTCACACACACACACACACACACACACACACACACACACACCCCTCTGCAGTACTAGGGAAGTGACCTGGCACCTCTACAGCTACCACACCAACTTCTATATTTTGGTCCGCTGCGCACCTGGACTTGTCAGTTTGGGTTAGATTTCCTGAAATCTTGAATTATTCATCGTTATCTTCCGATATCAACGCTGTATTTTCCGAGATGGTGAACTTACAGTCGTGTTTCCTCAAAATATATCGAGAAAAAGAACTTGCTAGAAAAACCGTAAAATAAAAATGTGTGCATGTCCTCTGAGGGTTTTCAGGAAATTAGTAACTAAAGGGGTATTATGTCTTTTTTGTTCTTCAGCCGTAAACTGAATATTTAAAAATATATTAATAGAATTTAAAAGACAAAACAGTTTATGTTTCTGGCTCGTTGATTTTCTTCAGGAGGTTTGAGGCTGATTTTTTTTTTTTTATTATTCTTTTCTGAGCTTGTAGATTCTTCATTTGGCCACCAGGGGGCTCTACACTCCTAAACATCTTCACAAGGTCAAAACTAAATGGGACGCTCTTAGTGTTATCCAGCCTGTTCGTTATCACCTTCATGCTGCACTCACATCCTAATACAACAGTCATAATTAAGATGACACACACATCTGAAGCAGTGGTTCTTAACTGGTGGGTCGGGACCTAAAGTGGGCCGCGGAGCCGTTTCAGTGGGTCCTGATTGAAAAACTGCTTTGTCTAAAAGTCTTTTTTAAACATGTTCTGTTTGTTTGTCGGGTCACAGGAGGTCCAAACATTTTATTTAAGAAAAGAAAAAGTGTAATTGGTTGAAAATATAAATTGGGGGTGAGAGTCTTCCCTCAGGATTTGTTGGGTCCTGGTTCGGAACCAGAGAAAGATCTGACAAACTTGAATTAAAGTTTTATTTTCAGAGTATTTGTTCAGTGTTTGAGTATTTTTACGACCTGAGAGTTTAAATACTGAACAAGAGCTTTAAAATATGTGAGCCAACACACACACCCTGTATATATACTGTGTGTGTGTGTGTTCCAGAAATAACTCAGCCTTCAGTGTTTCAGCAGGAGGGGGGAGGTGGAGGAGAAGGAGGAGGGTGAGGAGGTGCTGACCTCCTACAGAGCAGCAGCAGACTGTGCAGACCAAACTCCAGCTGGAAAAGTGAAGAAAACAAACTTTTTTTACTTTCTGACTCTGAGCTATGGAACCAGAGAAGAAGAGTGAGCGGGTCCAGGTCATGGTCCGGGTCCAGACTGTGGAGGACGGACTGTAACTTCAGCCTGGATTCTTCTTCTCTTGCTGTTTTAACTCAAACCAGATGTCCCTGTGCCAGACTCCACCGCCGGTTCTGTTGTTTTGAACTTCCCTCTGACGCCACAAAAAACCTCATTCACTCTCCGGATGATTTCCACTCTGCAGTTTGGAGGCTGCTGTTGTTCAGTTTAACGGATCTGTTGTTGTTTTTTATTTCCACGTTCACTGATTCTTCTGACGGTCCCGTTACGTGAGTTTGGAGTTTCATCGGGACGCAGGATTTGAAGCAGAGACGAGAGGGAATAAACCAGGAGGGTAATCTGGAGGAGTCAGGGATAAAGTGTTGTTCCTCGAGGTTTCAGATGCGTCTCTGTGATTAAAACCAACATGAACTCAGCGAACAGCTCTGCAGACGCAGTTCGGCTGTTCTGAAGCGAAGTTCGCTCGCCTGTTCGCTGCGCGTCGTGGCTCCTTCTGCAGGCTGCGCGCACAGCATCCGGAGGAAGGATTCATAGAGCTTCTAAAAAGAGTCGAATGTTTTCAAAGTCATGTGAGTCCGTGCTGTAAGAAGTTCTCTGGAGAACTCGAGTTAACTCTTTAACAGAGTGGCACAGATATGAACATTTCTCCTCAAAGACACGTGCAGGAATGTCATCCCTGAGCAGATGAAGATGAGGTGTGAAGGAAGGAGAACCTCTCTGTAATGTAAAGTGAACCTCCTCCTCCTCCTCATGCGGAGCCTCCTGGCGTCTCTCCTGCGGGAGGCCGGGATGCTGCTCCCCCGCCGCTCCTGCTCGGGGCCGCTGCTGCTGCTCGGGGTCGCCGTGTGCCTCTTCTACCAGACCCTGATGGTGGCCCGGAACCGGCTCCGCTCCGGACCGCAGCAGCCCGCAGGAGATGTCCGGAGCAGGAGGCCGACAGAGGAGGTGCTGATGGAGAAGACCCGGAGGTTCATCTGTACTCTGGAGGCTGTGCAGAGAGACGCTCAGGTGAGTGAACCTAAAGTCTACAGGTGTGTTAGGGGGCGTGTCTTCACCTGTAGTAGAGGAACAAAGCCCCCAAAAAGGCTTTAGTTTTCGAGAGACCCCTACCCGAGGTAGAACAAAGCATAATCATATTTTTTATAACTTGAACATGTCTACTTTATGAAACGGATTGTTGTATAAAAATATTTTACAGCAAAATAACTTTTTTTGGATGTTTTCTGCATCTTACCAAAAAACGAAAATAGGTCAAATTAGGGCTTCTCCAAAAGGGACAGCTCTAGCCTTATCACATGTATCTCTGGGAATCAGAATCAGAATTTCACCAAATTTGGACAGGATGTTCACAGATAGTTATTAGTTACAATTATCAATACCATTTTAAATTTTTGAATTTTTCACACTTAAACACACATGTAGTTTAGGCGGAAATTGAAACAAAAATTCAAAAGGTATGTAGTCAAAGTCTGTCATTTTTTAAGTAAGGACACCAAACATTAAAATATGTCATTTTTATCTTCTTTAGACTGTTATCTCAACATAAAAACAAGTTATTTGACTTTTCACTTGACCCTATGCTGTCACCAGCCCCTAACAGGGAACTAGTGCAGCCAGGATTTCAGGGCGACCTGGTACAATGGGGCCCTATGGGTGTGTATGTGGGAGGAGGTGGCCACAAACAATAGATTAAGACTTAACAACAACACACAATATAATTGTATTCTGTAATATATTTATATATATATATATATATATATATATATATATATATATATATATAATTAAACATTTTATAGTTATTCCTAATACATTTTGTCTCATATTTTCTATCTTACATATGATTTATATGATGACACTCAGAGTCAACCCGCTGCTTTCAACAATATTGTCACAACACAACCAAAGACACCACAACCAAAGACAACACAACCAAAGACAACACAACCAAAGACACCACAACCAAAGACAACACAACCAAAGACAACACAACCAAAGACAACACAACCAAAGACAACACAACCAAAGACACCACAACCAAAGACAACACAACCAAAGACAACACAACCAAAGACACCACAACCAAAGACAACACAACCAAAGACAACACAACCAAAGACAACACAACCAAAGACAACACAACCAAAGACACCACAACCAAAGACAACACAACCAAAGACACCACAACCAAAGACAACACAACCAAAGACACCTCAACCAAAGACAACACAACCAAAGACAACACAACCAAAGACACCACAACCAAAGACAACACAACCAAAGACACCTCAACCAAAGACAACACAACCAAAGACAACACAACCAAAGACAACACAACCAAAGACACCACAACCAAAGACAACACAACCAAAGACAACACAACCAAAGACAACACAACCAAAGACAACACAACCAAAGACCGTTTAAAAGAGAAAGAGGAAGATTCAGGCACTGCACAGTCTGATTTTACATCCAGGCAGTAAACAGGGAAGTGCAAACCATATTTACAAAGTGTGAAATAAGTTTTGCAAAGCTTGAAGCAAATTTATAAAACAAAATCACAAAAGCAAAACTGAAGGGAATGGACCAAAAGCCGGAAGTGACCCCGGAGTGAGTTGGTTTGTTTTGGGTGTGAAGACTGCGGGACATGTGTTATCAGAGAATATGTTGACCGAGTGATATTTTGTCCATCTTTCTGTCCAAAACAAACAAATTGACGTTTGCTCACTCAATCACTTCTGGGTCACTTCTGGCATTTGGTTCATTCCCGTTTCCGGCGAATTTCTGCCACTTATAAATGTGTCTCAGCACTCGTAATTGTTTTTTTTTTTTTAAATAAAATGTAAAAAAGAAAATATATTTGTGCAAGCGTTGTAAAAGTGTTTCATGCTTTGTCATTTTGATTTGCACTTTCCAGCCACCGTACTTCCATCAATCAGAATCAGCTTTATTGGTCATGTATGCTTACACACACACACACAGAATTTGTCTTCAGTAACTGTGCTCTCAATGTACAAAGTTAAACATTAAACATAATATAAGCAAAATAAAAACACTAATATATATAAGGCTAAATAAGACAATAGTGCAGTGGTGAGTAGTGCAAAAAAAATGCTTATAAAATAGAGTTTTACAGTGTTTACATACGCAGTGTGCATAAATCAGTGAGAGGATAGTATTTCAGTATATACATAATAAATTTATTGAAAAATAAAAATAGCTATAATGTAAACTCCAATGTTAAACACAGTAGTAGAGGGGGAAACGTTAGGGTTGACTCTCCAGGGCCCCCAATGGAGGAAGGGGTCATTATTGGTGCTTAAATAAATCTATAGTTTAAGGCCTATTCCACACGTAGGCGGGTATTTTTTTTTTTGCGACCGATGCACGACCACAGACTGTGTAAAGTCTTGTGCTGTTTTGTGGATTCAAAGTGCATATTAACCCCAGCAGCAGCCTGACTTTCTTCTTTATCAACGTGTAGCCTTCAGACGGTTAAAATGTCAGATTTGTAAACGAGGGTTTGGTCTGATGAAAAATGTCCTCCTCGCGCCGTCTGGGTCACGGCTCCTTCTGTCTCATTGTTGCTGTATTTTTAGATAGCGAGGGGATCAATGGCCGTGTGTGCACCAGGTTTTATTTTACTGCAGGATGATTGACACCTGGGCCGACCAATCAGAGTCAGAGCTCCTGTCAGTGTGTGTTTGTTTGGTATTTTAAGTGTGCCCTGGTGTTGCTGAGCGAAATATTTGAACCATTAATCAGCTGAGGATCCAGTGTCTGACAGATACACACACACACACACACACACACACACACACACACACACACACACACACACACACACACACACACACACACACACACACACTCTCTCTGTCAGGCTGTTAATCTTGTCAGGTCCTGTTGGTTAGACGGATCTGATCCTCACTGGTTTGTGTTTACAGCAGTAAGACGGTGATAACAGCTGTTAAAGGAGCAGTCTGACCTTTATTTAAATAAACTCTCCGTTGCTATGATGTCATAATTAGAGAGAGGACTGTCCAAACTGAAGGTTTCAGGGTTTTCTTTATCCAAAAGTTGCCAACGTTTTTGTGCAATTTAGACAGGAAGTAGGAGTTTGACTTTAATGGGTGTCTAGGTGTTTGACTAGAACAGAGCAGACTGTATCCAGGAGGTGTAGGTGTGACCTCATTGTTTGTCCTTCAAAGCATTTTATCTGTCGCCGTGTTCGTTTTCTGAACCCAGACGTGACCACATTTGGAAGAGAGAGGAGCGAGCGAGGTGTTGCACGTGCTATACGCTATTAAAGCTTAGCACAATGTGGCTAACAGATGAGCGCTTCCTGACAGGATCAGCTGACTGTGAGGGGGTCACACAGGTGAGAG